CCTCCCCCCCGGGGGCTGGGCAGCTGCTGCTCCTCCCCTCCCCCAGTGAGGAGCCTGGCCCTCAGGACTTTATGTCCCACCTGCCCAGCGGTGGTTTGGCTCCTCCCCATGGGAGCTCGGCTCCCGCTCACTTATTGCTAAACCGCTTCTGCCGCGGGGCGGGGCCTGTAGCAGCTTCAGAGCGACATGTGGTCGGGGCAGGCAGCTTTCCTCCTGGGCCTCAGTCTCCTCATCTGTAAAGTGGGGTGGAAACGCTGGGGTGCGAGTGAGAACTAGAGGGGCAGCGGGTCAGGGCTGGGTACGTGGTAGGTGGTGGCTGCAGAGCGGTGCCCACCCCGCTCCCGCATCACTGAGATCCACCGTGGGCCTGGCATCACCCGGCCCGACCCAGGGGCAGGCTAGGGGCGCAGCCGCCCCCCACTCAGCTTGGAGCTGCCCCCCGTCCCAGGCCCCTCCGCAGGTCCCAGGCGGAGAGGCAGGTGGAGGACCTGGGCACACAGTCGCCGCAGCCCAAAGAGAGGTGAGGTGGCACCTGAGTTTTCTGTCCCGGGCAGGAGAGACCTGGGCGGGTGTGAGCCATCGCCTGCGGGCACCCACCACCCCTGCACCCGGCCCCCCTCCCAGGTTGGAGAGGGAGTGAGCTGGGAGGAGCGGGCAGCGTGGTGGGGTTGATTTAGACGTTCGTTCGGGAGAGGGGATAATGTAGGAAATGAAGGAAATTTCCCCAGGGGGAGAGAGAAGAAAGAGGAGCTTAAGTGCCCAGATAATTACACCGCCGGGCGGTGATTTACGGCGGCGGCTCCTCCGCTGCCTCCCCGGCCCTCCCGGCTCAGCCCCGCGTGAGCCCTGCCGGTGGGGGTGGCAGCGGGCGGGCCACGCCCAGACCCCCCACCCCGAGTCCTGCCAGCTCGGGTGTCTCTTAGCATGTCCCCCCCTTTGATCGGCCCCTGGGTGGTGCCCATGTCGCCCACCCTGCAGGGTGCCAGCCAGGTCCCCTTCCTGGGACTCTGGGAGCCTGAGCCCCTCGGGCAGGGCAGGCTCTTGGGGGACATTTCATGACTGAACGGAAGGAGTCCAGCCACTGAAAGGGGAGATGAGACGGCCTCGCTGTGCTCCGTGCGGTCGCTGTGAGGAGATCTGAGGCGCCAGCAGACAATTTTCCCACCAAGTCCGGTCCCCGTGAGGCCCAGGCAGGGCTCCGAGACCAGCGGCCGGCCGGGCACTGACCCTGCCGGAGAGGGCGGGCGTCCACTGTGCTGGGGTGGCTGCAGGCCTGGGAAGAGCAGCTGGGAGAGGGGCCCGTCGAGGACTGGGGCCCGTCCTTCCGGGGTGCTGGGGTGTCCGGAGAAGGGGAAGACATAGACAGAGAGAGAGGGGCGCCCACCAAGTGCTCCTTACGGGGCGAGGACCTGGAAGCCGCCCGCCTTCTGCGGGTTCAGTGGTCGTGACCAGTTACCCGATGGGGTGCCAGGGGCTCAGGCTGTGGGGGGCGCTCCAGGCCAGGTGGGCACGGTTCTGTGAGGCCTGAGCCTCCGGGACAGTTACATGTCTTGGCTGCCTTTCTCCGTTTCCACAACTCTGGCTTCATGAGATCTGTTTCTTCAGCAATGACAGGAAAATGTCATTTAATTTCAGAACCAGCCACGTGGCGAGAGTGAAACTGACCTGCCCGCCCGACCATCCCTGCCTGTTCCCCCAAAAGCCAGCCGTCCACAGCGGGCGGGAGTCGTGGTGGGGGTGGCGGGGGCATCTCATCACCGTCAAGTGCGACGGCCGTGGTTTTGCTGGTGCAGATCCTGCCCTTGTCCGTGACCAGCCTGGCCCAGCGGAGCCTGAGGTAGGTGTGCAGACACAGGCGGCAGCTGCTTCTCGGGGGGGAACCAGCAGTTAGCGTGGTGCCCGCAGAGCCCCTGGGGTTCCCCGTTCGCTTGTTTTCTCTGATGGGTGTAAGTGGCTCCTTTTTAAGAGACCAGACGGGGGTCAGGTGGCGGGGAAGGTTCTGGCAGCTCTGCCCGATGCCTGTCCTTGGGAACTCGAGCTCGCCCGTGCCCTGACCACACCAGCTGCTGTGGGAGCCATCGGCCCCCCAAGTCCCCGCTGGAGCCATTCGGGCCCCGGCGACGCAGCCTGGTCTGT